GGGGGAGGTGCAGAGACTGGCCATAGTGCTTGGCACTAGCACCGTTTCCCAATTAAGCACTGCCTGCCCACCCCCCATCACCGTGATGAGGGGCTGGTACAGCCTTGCTCTCGCACCACTGCTGTGGTGCAAACCTACCCCATGGGCTAGGGGGAGATCTGGGTTGGTTGGTGTTCCCCCGTACTATACATAGTCTAGTGAGAGGATGAGATAGATGAGTACATAGACGAGATAGATGAGTACATAGGTAGATTGAGAGAATAATCTAGCTTACTTCAAAAAAAAAAAAAAAAAAAAAAAAAAAAAACAGAAAGAGAAAAGACAATTGGGCCTGCATGTGGCAGCAGAGAACAGCAAAAGGAGAAAAAAATGCAAAAAAATACGAACGTTTGCCACTAGAAAGACGAGGGTCCAACTTAAGAAGATGGTGTTCAGTTCAGTTGGAATGCTAAGACTCCTGAGATGCCGACCAAGGTTGCCGACGGACACTGCAAACGACTTTCATCGAGCAAGCTCTCAGTGAGCAGATCCCTGTGTGGAAAAGAAATCGATTAAATGAAGAAACCAATAATAAGCAATGATACAATTGAAGTGAAAGTTGGATCGACGAAGTGAAACTTGGATCGCCGAACTATGTCGTGTGCACATGCACACTACTTTCTCACTGAAAGAATCTTCATCACCTGCACGCAGTCAACTCGAACTCGAAAGATGATTTCACTCCACAAAAGTATCAGAGAGCTGCCCACAACAAAAATGTGCTGGCATGCAGATGATTGCCTACAGCTATGCAAACACTGTACAACGCCGCGTGCTATGCAAGCAGCATGTCGCGTGCTATGCAGTACGGCACGCGAGATGCAGTACGCCGCGTGCCATGCAAGCAGTATGCAGTATGGCCCATGCTATGTTGCGTGATATGCCATGTTCTATGCAAGCAGTATGCAGTATGCTGCTTGCTATGCCATGTACTATGCCATGTGCTATGCAAGCAGTACGCAGTATGCCCCGTGCTATGCCGCATGCTATGCCGCGTGCTATGCAAGCAGTCTGCGGTATGCCGCATGCTATGCAAGCAGTATGCGGTATGCCGCATGCTATGCAAGCAGTATGCGGTATGCCGCGTGCTATGCAAGCAGTATGCAGTATGCTGCATGCTAAGGCATGCAATATGACACGTGCTATGCAAGCGATATTTCAGCGACACCTAGCTGGGGCACAAATCATATAGCTATTGCCCACTCATGAGTGTGCTGGATTCCAATAGCCACGCAGGGCTATGCTGGAATCACATAGCCATATATGGATATGCAAAAGAAAAGACTTTGCAGCCTCATGCAGGTATGGGATCGCACTGTGTAAAAAAAGTCCCAATGGGACTGTGCAAGCTCACTGTTTAGCTGACCAGAGCTATGCAGAGCACATTCGCATGGCCTGCACTTCGATAAGCAAGCGGTTAAGCAGTCGTGCACGTGTGTGTTCAGCAGCCATCTAAAACAAGCATCCTACAGCGTACAGTCGTCCGCAGGAAACATCTATCCATGTCTTGTATGCCCAAGCACAGCTGACCCATGTAACACTTGGCTGTTGAGCCATAGAGCGCCGGCTCGATTCCGTGCAGGGCCGAATCGAAGAAGAAGTATTGAGCACCTACGCAAGCTTGGTAGTATAGGCAGAGGAACTCACCAACGTTTGACGCGTACCTTGTGAACGGTGCTTCTGCGATCAGAAAAAACAGTTGGATAGTTTGGAAACAGACTACATGGGATCAGATCTATCAATCAAACAATGGCTGGCATCATGTCCCAAACTTGCGGAATGCGAAAAAGCACAAGAGAAGCAGGGATGCCGTACGTTCCACACTCTTCCTCCCTCCTATTCTCTCTCATCTCCTTCTGTGACCTAAATGGAAGTTTCCTTCGGTTGCGTGACGAAGCTGAGCCAACCAAATTTAACCCGAAGTCCGAGATTACGCAGCTCCGGGATCAGTTCCATTCCTTCAGCTTTCACTCTCATTACTCTTCTTGGCAGCAGCAGCGGGCTTCGCCAAGTCCGTTTCGACAATCTCGCCGGTCTTTAGGAGGTACCGAACCTTGCGTCCATCTTCTAGAATCTTGTGCCCCACGCGACTTGCAACCTTGTTGGTTTTTGAGTACAGCATGACATTGGAGCCGTGGATGGGCGCTTCTATTTGAATAATCTGTCCAGATTCACCCTCTGCCTTCCCCTTCACGTGCTTCGTCTGGAGGTTGACATTCTTCAACAACACTTTGCCATTGTGATAATAAATTTGCACAACTTCGGAGACCTTTCCCTTGTCGTCGCCAGCGATAACTTTCACACTGTCACCAACCTTTATGTGCAGCTTCTGGCGCACTGGAAGACCATTCGGCTTGCACTCCTTTCTTTTCCACTTCTTGAGCTGCAGAGAAACCAACAGTTCCGATTGCAATTCTGAGTCCCCCCCCCAAAAAAAAGACGCTGTGTCCTTTTCTCGATAACTCAGATTTGAAGAGTCTCATTGCTTCTGCTTTTTACAGAAACCAAGGGAAGAAGGGTTCCGGCCCTGTGACCGAACGGTGATTCCATGTAATTGCCAATAAACAGTCCATGAGTTCAAAATTCATCTCCTCCTTTCCCTCATCCAACCAAAAACAAGGGGTGGGAGGGGGGTGGGAGGGGGGTGGGGGATGGGGGGGTGCTTGATCCAACTATTCAATGTAAGGCATTGCCCCTTCATTGGATTAATAAAAACAATAGTCTCCACAGAAACATCGTGGCAGGTTCTGGCTTTGGAACAAATTAGAAGATTGGCGCCCCTGACTACAGAGGATATACATCCTCTCACTTGGGTGGAGGATCGGTTTCGGGGCATTCCTACAGCACAGGCACAGGCACAGTCTCGAGAGGGAGGGGTTCGTGGAGCCGCTAGAAGTGATGTCAGCGTAGATGACTTTTGGGTTTTCTCTACTGAAAACATGGAGAAACCTACCCTTACCCAACAGACCTTTCCCCTCTCGTTATGAGGAAATTTTGCGCCAACCTCTTTTTGGCAACCGATTGATCACAGATACAAATGGTCTCTGTGGGTTAAAAAAGGGGGGTTCATCCAACCTTGTTAATTCGCAGAACCCCCCTTTTTTAATTCGCAGAGCAGCTTCCAACCTCATTTTCAATAGTTTGTGGGTTAAAAAATGGGGGTTCTGTGAATTAAAGATCTACGGGACACAGCAAAGAACGAGTGGAAGACTGCAAAGCAGCTGAGAACAACTCCACAGTATGCCCAATACACACACACACTCACACACACACACACACACACACACACACACACACACATATGCACACACACACCCCAAAAGAAACAAAAAGAAAGAAAACAAAAACAAAAACGACGAAACCTGAAACTGGACACAATAGCTGTCAGATACGTCCACAGGAGTTTTGGTGTGAGCACAACTCGTTCACAGCCTTCCCCCTGTCGTTTTGCCTCACGTAGCATTCTCCTCTTTTTTTTTCCTTCTTTTGGCCAAGCCTCGTCCACACCCCCAAAAAATGCGGTGTGACATAAATTCCAGTTTTTCCCAACACTGAGAAAGGTAGTGGTGAAGGTTTGTGCATGCCTTTTTTATTAGTAGAGGATCCTTGTGAGAAGGTCAGCGGGGTAGAGAAAGATAGCCTCTCTTTCAGCTGCAAAACAAGGGTTTATAATTGAGGAGGGGGAAGGGGAGGGAGGGGGAAGGGGAGGGAGGGGGGAAGGGGAGGGAGGGGGAAGGGGACAGAGGCTTTATGTCTTCTCTCCATGACTACAGCTCCTTGGTATTGTGACCATTCAATGGCCGCTTGGCATTCGGACTATCCAATAGTAGTCATTTGGCATTTTGACTATTTAACAGCCACTAGCATCTTTACTATTCACACTGCCATTGGTAGCGTGACTTTGCAAAGGCAACTTGGGTTGCCACAACTATTTAATCGCCCCCTTGGCATCTTGACTATTCAATAGCCTATGCAATTGTTATGATTCTGGTTGTCTGTTGTCTGAAGACCAACACTCACTCACATAGACTTCCAGGCATGCCCATACATACACAGAAGGAAGGGGAGAGGATAGGAGTATCACACCGCACAGGGAGAGATAAACACAGCGGAAGACTTGACCATGCGATATGACAGGGTACACTGAAAGTGCAATTCACTCCACTCAATCCAATTCTTCTCGCCACACACTCACCACCACCACCCTCACTGTCGCAAACCCTGAAGATGACAAATTGCCATGAAACTCAACTCCAGTGTCTCGCCAGATAGTGCTAGTTGTTCCAACTCATCAATCGCTTCACTGTCTGGATCCAATCGCTCTGATACCAACTATTATGCTGGTTGTCTGTTGTCTGAAGACCAACACTCACACATAGACTTCCAGGTAGTGGTAGTTGCTCCAAAAACTATGATTCAGCAGGCTAACCGGCACAGACGTCCTTCTACTATTAGCACAGGTGACTGGGTGTGGGTACTGAGTTCTGAGTTGTCACGAGAGGAGGACATTTCGCCCAAGCTATTGCCACACTACATGGGTCCATGGCAGGTTTTAGATACAGCGGGTGCAGATCCCTTTGGACCATCCTATACTGTGGATGTCCCTCTGCATCTACAAACCTACCCTGTCTTCCATGCATCTAAGCTGTTGCCTTTCACATCAGCTGATGCATTGCTGATGCATTCCCTGACAGGCCTCCTCAGTTTGGTCCCCCGATCCCTGGTAAGGGATATGAGGTGGAATCAATTGAGGATGAGACAGGTACAGGCCCAGACAAGGAGTATCTTGTGAAGTCTTCCTACCAGCCGCATACTGAAGATCGCTGGTTTACTCGCAAGGAGCTCCTTAAAACCGCTAAGTATGTTGTCCTCAAATATGAGGCAGCGTAGAAGGGAGAACCCCTTCGACGCTCCGCACGCCTACGCCCCTAGCTCGGAGGTCCTCGCTCCGGGGGAGGGTAGGTCTGCAATGACTTGCTGGTTCTGTTGGTCTGTAGCCTGTTGAGTCGAGGCTGTACTATAGGTAGGGCAGATTCAGAATTTTGTTTGGCTGAGTGCTAACCGAGAGACCCGCCTGTAAGGAAAAATTTGAGAGGGACATATCTGCAAATTTGGGAAAATATAGGCCCATACTAACTGAATTCCCTACAGCTAACCTAACTGCGAATAACAGACCTGGGCTACCCCTAGGACAGAGACCCTACGGGCCTAAGCTGATAGACGGTCCTATAGCCTATAGCCGGGTAGGGAAAGGCCCTAGAGGCCGAAACTGAAACGGTACCGGTCGGTCCAGTCAGTCCGGTCTAGGCTAGTGTAGGTTATAGATAGGATGGGGACATTGGTTCAGGGCTTTTGGCAGTTGGTACCATGTACATCGCTGCTGTGCAGCGCAAGAACTGGAAGTGGTGACAGCTCTGCGTTGGGGAAGACAGACATAGCTGGACCTTCTGAGTGGCGGCCATAGCTGGGACCATCACTATACTCTGACAGCATGTGGGGCTGTCCAGAGGTCCGAGCTATTTGAAGTGTGCTGGAGGCGAGAGAAGTTGGTGCCCTGCTGGACCCTCTTCCGGAGTAGGGTTACAGGGTGTGTGGTGCTGCAGCCATAGCTGCAGCTTCTTCCTCGGAGATCATCTTGTCAGGAAAGGTGGCCCTGTTGCAGACTTTCACCCGGGAAGTCATTTGGCACTTCATCATCATCAGACACTGTGGAACTGGTCTTCTTCTTCATGCTCTGTGAAGCGCTTGCCTCAGAGGCCTGTTTCAGGGTGGCGCTTTCCTCTGGAGGCTGTATCTGGGTAGCGCTCGATGTTTCAGGGATCACGGGTAGTAATAGCGGTTCATCAGGGTTCGGGAGTGAAGCACTGCTCATTTCTGAGCAGCGCACCATAGTTCTGAGGTTATCCTGACAATTTCGAGACTGAGTTTAATAAACAGTGTTGATACTGTGATGGGCCCATCATTGTTTCATTGTTTCTTGGATGTGATCTACTCAGCTTTCCTTTATGACTGATTGTGAGGATTGAGTGGAGTGAATTGCACTTTCAGTGTACCCTGTCATATCGCATGGTCAAGTCTTCCGCTGATTGCTGTTCTCAACTGCCATTGAGTTGAGCTTACTTGGCACCGCTGGATTCCCATGCCTGCTGATGAGACCTCAGAAATAGTTCAGTGGGGCCTGCTCCAGACAGATGACAGAAAAAAAAACAACATAAGAGAAGACTTTTTCCCTAGAGTTCGAGCAGAAGCAGCACACAAGGGATATGTCTGGGCAGCGGCGAAAATTGCAAGCTTACCACGGCAACTGCAGTCCCTGGCAGCTGTTCAGGACGAGGTCGCACAAGGAAGATACACATGACACAGAACACCCCGCCCCCCTCCTCCTCCCCCCCCGCCCCCCAATCAGCAGCAGTGCCCATAGCCATAATATCAACATCAGACATCAACCATGGCAATAGTCACACCGCAATAGCCATCCCTAGAGCAACACACACATCAGACACACATCAGACACACATCAGAAACACACACACATGCACGGAGAGAGCAGAGCGTTAGTTGCTATAGAACTTTGTTCTCTTTTCTGATTTTTTTGTTGTTGTTTCAGGCTGTGGGTGTATGCAACTTCTGAGTTTGAAGACTTCAATTCGGTTCACTCAATATTTTTGAGTTCAGAAAAACAAAAACTCATAATACTCCTTTGGGCATTTAACTTTTTGACTTTCCTGGCCGCAATTTCAGCGTTTCTTAAACCAAAAAATCGTCAGGTCCTAGTGGACGGAACAAGGTAAGCCCTGCCCGTTTCGGCTCAAAAAACGCCGAAATTGCGGCCAGGAACGTCAAAGTTGAATGCCCAAAGGGATAATGATAACCACTCTATGCTACCAGAGTGGCCCGGGACCAATTGCCCGGTCGGGCCTATACAAAATAAAAAAATAAAAAAATAAATGAAAATATATATATTTTTTAATTTGAATAAAGAAATTTGATGTGATGCTGAGGCAAAAATTATTCAGTTTATTTTTCTGCATAATTATTTTTTTTTTCACAATTTTTCTAGGCTACCAGAGTGGCCAGCGCCCGACCGGGCCAAAAAAAACAAACAAAAAAAAAATTGATAAAGAATTTCGTGCGACCCTGAGGCAAAAGTTGTTCAGTTTACTTTTCTGCATAATATAGTTTTTTTCGTCCTTTATTTATTTATTTTTGCTAGGACCTCTCCTGGTCCTTGCACGGCCGGGCCTCCCGGGAATATAGGGTGACCCGGGCGGCCCCGCTGGTAGCCTAGGAATTTTTTGAATTTTTTTTTGTTGTTGGGGGGGGGGCTGGGACCTTCTATGGTCCTTGCACGGTCGGCCCGCCCGGCCGGCCCGGCTGGCAGCCTAGTAATCAGTACATTATGAGTACTTACTTTTTGGTAACGGATTCGTCCCTGACAACGGATTCAAACCAACAACCCCTCGACATTGTCGTTGTTTTTTATTTTGGACCATTTCTCGATGTATGCGTGTCATCCTTGAAAACGCAGGGGCCATGCTAATCTTCTCTTTATCGTTCCAATTTTTTTAACGGTGACGTCCCGAAGGACCCACCCTCGACGTTGTCGATTACTAGACTGGAGATATGCTGAAGTCAAATAATAAAAATAATAATAATAATAATAATAATAATGATACAAATTTTAATTAAAGAAAAGAAAAAGAAACCGCACACAAGTTGAGATAAGAGGATTCGATGGTGCGGCCTCGAGGTGGAAACTGGGGGGACTACCTTGCACTTGGACCGACGTTCGAGACAGGTTCTGTGCGGGGAAAACGAAAAAAAAAACAAAACGCGCGAGTTTCACTAACAGGTGCATGGTGTCAGGGCAATGCACGCTGGACTTTCTTTTCGTTTTTTTTTGTTTTTTTTTTTGCACAACGGACTTTGGCAAAACAAAATGTAGACATCGGGCGGCGTTTGCACTACCGAACGGCTGCAGCACGAGCGACAAGAACATGGGGAAGAAGGGGAAGAAAGAGAGAGAGGGAGAGAGAGGAAAACGAGCAGAACAAAAGACTTGTTTCCTAGAAGCGGGGTGGGGTCGGGGGAAGGGACCCCATTCTTCTTTTGTTTTTCCTGGTTTACGGAGTGGGAGTCCATATTGTCACGCAACTACGGGAGAATTGGGAGAGGGAGAGGGGGAGGGGGAGGAGGGGGGGGGGGGGGGGGGGGGGGGGGGGGGGGGGGGATGGGGGGGTGCTTGATCCAACTATTCAATGTAAGGCATTGCCCCTTCATTGGATTAATAAAAACAATAGTCTCCACAGAAACATCGTGGCAGGTTCTGGCTTTGGAACAAATTAGAAGATTGGCGCCCCTGACTACAGAGGATATACATCCTCTCACTTGGGTGGAGGATCGGTTTCGGGGCATTCCTACAGCACAGGCACAGGCACAGTCTCGAGAGGGAGGGGTTCGTGGAGCCGCTAGAAGTGATGTCAGCGTAGATGACTTTTGGGTTTTCTCTACTGAAAACATGGAGAAACCTACCCTTACCCAACAGACCTTTCCCCTCTCGTTATGAGGAAATTTTGCGCCAACCTCTTTTTGGCAACCGATTGATCACAGATACAAATGGTCTCTGTGGGTTAAAAAAGGGGGGTTCATCCAACCTTGTTAATTCGCAGAACCCCCCTTTTTTAATTCGCAGAGCAGCTTCCAACCTCATTTTCAATAGTTTGTGGGTTAAAAAATGGGGGTTCTGTGAATTAAAGATCTACGGGACACAGCAAAGAACGAGTGGAAGACTGCAAAGCAGCTGAGAACAACTCCACAGTATGCCCAATACACACACACACTCACACACACACACACACACACACACACACACACACACATATGCACACACACACCCCAAAAGAAACAAAAAGAAAGAAAACAAAAACAAAAACGACGAAACCTGAAACTGGACACAATAGCTGTCAGATACGTCCACAGGAGTTTTGGTGTGAGCACAACTCGTTCACAGCCTTCCCCCTGTCGTTTTGCCTCACGTAGCATTCTCCTCTTTTTTTTTCCTTCTTTTGGCCAAGCCTCGTCCACACCCCCAAAAAATGCGGTGTGACATAAATTCCAGTTTTTCCCAACACTGAGAAAGGTAGTGGTGAAGGTTTGTGCATGCCTTTTTTATTAGTAGAGGATCCTTGTGAGAAGGTCAGCGGGGTAGAGAAAGATAGCCTCTCTTTCAGCTGCAAAACAAGGGTTTATAATTGAGGAGGGGGAAGGGGAGGGAGGGGGAAGGGGAGGGAGGGGGGAAGGGGAGGGAGGGGGAAGGGGACAGAGGCTTTATGTCTTCTCTCCATGACTACAGCTCCTTGGTATTGTGACCATTCAATGGCCGCTTGGCATTCGGACTATCCAATAGTAGTCATTTGGCATTTTGACTATTTAACAGCCACTAGCATCTTTACTATTCACACTGCCATTGGTAGCGTGACTTTGCAAAGGCAACTTGGGTTGCCACAACTATTTAATCGCCCCCTTGGCATCTTGACTATTCAATAGCCTATGCAATTGTTATGATTCTGGTTGTCTGTTGTCTGAAGACCAACACTCACTCACATAGACTTCCAGGCA